ATGCTACTTTAGGTACTTTTTGTTGCACGTTTCAGATGTGAAATCCACTAGAGGGCGCTGTCTACAATCTCATAAAGCTGAAATATCCTACTTTGGGTACGTTTTGTTGTACGTTTTAGATGTCTAAGACACTAGAGGGCGCTGTCTATATTTTTGGCAATTTGAAATCATTATTTAGGGTACACTTTGTTAAACATTTCAGATGATAAATCCACTGGAGTGTGCTGTCTGCAATTTCGCAAAGCTGAAATACGCTACTTTGGATGCCTTTTGTTGTACGTTTCAGATGTCAAACCCACTAGAGGGTGCTGTCTACAATTTCGCAAAGCTGAAATATGTTAGTTTGGATATGTTTTGTTGTACATTTCAGATGTCTAATCCAAAAGAATGCACTGTCTACAATCTTGCAAAGCTGAAATATCCTACTTTGGGTACTTTTGTTGTACGTTTTAGATGTCTAAGACACTAGAGGGCGCTGTCTACATTTTTGGCAATTTGAAATCATTATTTAGGGTACACTTAAACATTTCAGATGATAAATCCACTGGAGTGTGCTGTCTGCAATTTTGCAAAGCTAAAATATGCTACTTTGGATGCCTTTTGTTGTACGTTTCAGATGTCAAACCCACTAGAGGGCGCTGTCTACAATCTCGCAAAGCTGAAAAATGTTAGTTTGGGTATGTTTTGTTGTACATTCCAGATGTCAAATCCACTAGAGGGCGCTGTCTACAATCTTGCAAAGCTGAAATAAGCTACTTTGGGTACGTTTTGTTGTACGTTTTAGATGGTAAATCCACTAGAGGGCGCTGTCTACTTTTTTGGCAAATCAAAATTATTATTTACGGCACACTTTGTTAAATGTTTTACATGTAAAATGCACTAGAGGGCGCTGTCTACATTTTTGCAAAGCTGAAATATGTTAGTTTGGATATGTTTTGTACATTTCAGAAGTCAAATCCATTTCAGATGTCAAATCGGTGCTGTCTACAATTTTGGGATTTTGAAATTATTATTTAGGGTACATGTTGTTAAAAGTTGCAGATGACAAATCTGAAGTACATTACTTGCTGTACGTTTTTTTGTATGTTTCAAAAGTCAAATCCACACATAAATACGCTTAATACTTTAACACAATGGACAAAAAAAAGCTATTGATCAATTAAAGCAATTGATCGATAAAAAAAAAATTTCTGATGACTTAAGGCTCGACACACCAGGACGCTTTTCGTTTGTGTTTATCGTCAGCGTTTTGAGTTGGTTTTCTGGATTCAAAGCCAAGCGATTTTCACTGGCGTCGAGCAGAAGATTATGCAAAATCACTGCTTTACGTCAGCTACACAGCGCTACACAACTTAAAGCTTCTGACACCTGCTTGTAACACAGAAGAAGACAAAGTTGACACGCTTGTTGTTATGGATGGTTTACGCAGCAGTTCCAGCTCTAGTGATGAAGAAATGACTTTTGCACACGAACAAAAGTGCCGATCTGATTGGTGGAGGTTTAGACGCAGCTCGTCAAAACAAAAAAAATAAGCATGAGGCGTTCCATAAAAAATTACGCTTTTACACCTGCCGTTTTGCGCATTGGTGTGCACGACCACATGGACACCCTTAAGTTAGTCATGAGGCATTAAAATTCGATGGAAAAGGCAAGCAAAAAACGTCTTGGTGTGCACGGGCCTTCACTGGTGCATATTTATTGCAATAATTGTTCTTTTTATTAATATTATTGCTGTTATTATTATTTACAATCTGATGCCCTGAAAGAAACAGAGTCTGACAAAATAATTTCAAGCCAAATGTAATCTTTATTTTTCAGTTTCTGTACAAAAAGCACGGGATCACAGGAAGAAGAAAAAACGAAAATCAATAAAACCCGAAATAAAAACATGCATTTATTTACAGCATGGTCCGAGAGGAAAAAAGCAAAGTAGAATACATCTCCCTATCTGAATTCTAAAGACATTAATTAAACATTGTGCTTTGATATATTTCGATATAATATTTCATATTTCACAGAGATGCAGTACCTTCTCCGTTTCACTTCCACATTTCCAAAGAAAACAGGGTTGGAAAACGAAAAGCAGAAGCCAGTTCTCTACATCTATGACAAAAACCCTTTCACAAGCTATTAGGAAAGTGAATGCATGGGTGAAACCGATGGACAAGTGTGTGTGTGTGTGTGTGTGTGTGTGTGTGTGTAGTTTTCAGTGAACTTTGAGATTGAATTCATCTGTTTTAGTATAATAGGGCACTGTCAGATTGTATTTTCTTTACCCTATTTATGTCCAAACCCCAAAAGGATGAAAGTGAAGTAATTAGGTCACCTGTGAAATTAAAACAGCTCTTCAGAAGAAACACAACTTCTTTCACATTTAATCCTAGCAAACACACAGCTTCTGCAAAAACCGGATTTCCACATGGAATATTAAAGAAAACTGTGGTCAAAGTGGCTGATATTTGATCATCCCAAACAGAAGCAGACCTCAAGATGACTTATTAAAAATAAAAATGAAGATTTCAAGTCATATTTTCTGTGAAACATTGCCGTTTCAGAAGCCTTGATTTCACAAACATAGGCTATTTTTCTGATTAGTGGTTTGAGAGTCATGCTGTGTTGGAGCGCTTCCTATTTTAAGGCATCATTAGATCTCCTTCCGTTATTTAATTTCACAGCTAATCCACTGTAATGTGAACCGCCAGTTGCATTTCAATACAGATTGCATAACTTGTGCATCAGCGACACTGACGTCACCTCAAAACAACCCAGACTCATTGGAATCTGAAATATGGAACCTTGGATAGGTTTTGTTGTATGCTTCAGGTTACAAATATACTAGAGGGCGCTGTCTACATTGATGTCAATCTGAAATACGTGATTAGTGTACATTTTGTTGAACATTTCAAATGAAAATCCACAAGAGGGTGCTGTCTACATTATTGCTAATCTGAAAAGCGTTACCTAATGTACATTTTGTTGTAGGTTTCAGATGTCAAATCCACACTTGAGGGCGCTGTCTACATTGTTGTGAATCTGATATACGTTACCTAGTGTGCGTTTTATTGTGTTTTAGATGACAAATCCATTAGAGGGCGCTGTCTACATTTTCGCAAATCTGAAATATGTTAGTGTATGTTTGGTTGTCGTTTCAGAAGTCAAATCCACACTAGAGGGCGTTGTCTACATTTTGCTAATTTATTCAGGGTACATTTTGTTGTACATTTCAGAGGTCAAATCCACTAGAGGGCGCTGTCTATATTTTTGTGAATCTGAAGTATGCTACTGTGGGTACATTTGTTTGCACATTTCAGATGTCAAATCCACCCTAGAGGGCGCTGTCTTCATTTTTGGGAATTTGAAAAGTGTTAATATACATTTTGTTGCACGCTTTAGATGTCAAATCCACACTAGAGGGCGCTGTCTTCATTTTGGGGAATTTGAAATATTATTTAGGGTACACTTTGTTAAACGTTTCAGATGGCAAATCCACTAGAGGGTGCTGTTAAAATTTTTGCGAATCTGAAATGCGTTAATGTACATTTTGTTGTATGTTTCAGATGTCAAATCCACACTAGACGGCGCTGTCTACATTTTTGGAAATTTGAAACTACTATTTAGGGTACATTATGTTTTACGTTTCAGATGACAAATCTAAAATACGTAACTTGCTGTACATTTATTGTATGTTTCAGTTGTCAAATCTACTAGAGGGCGCTGTGTATATAACTGAATCTGAATTTTTTTTACATTGGGTACGTTTTACTGTGCGTTTCTGATGTCAAATCCACTAGAGGGCGCTGTCTACATTTTTGGGAATTTAAAACTAATATTTAGGGAACACTTTGTTGTACGTTTCAAAAGCAACACTAAAAGGTGCTGTCTCCAAATTCGCAAATCTGGAATACGTATTTAGTAGACGTTTTGTTGAACATTTCTAATGTTAAATCCACACTAAATGGCGCTGTCAACATTTTGGTGAAGCTGAAATTGGCTATTTTAGGTGTGGTTTGTTGTACGTTTTAGATGTAAAGTCCACTAGAGAGTAAATTTTTGCGAATCTGAAATGCATCAATGTACATTTTGTTGTATATTTCAGATGTCAAATCCACACTAGAGGGCGCTGTCTACATTTTTATGAACTTATTTATGGTACATTTTGTTGTACGTTTTAGATGACATCTTCTAGAGGGCGCTGTTTTTATTTTGTGAATCTGAAATAAGCTACTTTGGGTGTGTTTTGTTGTACATTTCAGATTATAAAATCCACTAGAGGGTGCTGTCTACAATTTCACAAATCTGAAATATATACTTAGTAGATGTCTTGTTTTAGGTTTCAAATGTTAAATCCTCACTAGGGGGCGCTGTCTAAATCTGCAAATCTGAGATGCGTTAATGTACATTTTGTTGTACGTTTCAGATGTTAAATCCACACTCGAGGGCGCTGTCTACATTTTTACCTATTTAAAATGATTATTTAGGGTACATTTTGTTGTGCATTTCAGATGAACTGTACGTTTTAGTGTATGTTTTAGATGTCAAATACACAATAGACTATGCAGTCTACATTTTTGCTAATCTGAAATATGCTACTTTGGGTACGTTTTGTTGTACTTTTCAGATGTCAAATCCACTAGAGGGCGCTGTCTAGATTTTTGGGAATTTGAAATTATTATTTAGGGTACACTTTGTTGTATGTTTTAGATGTCAAATCAACACTAAAGGGTGCTGTCTACAAATACGTATTTAGTAGACGTTTTGTTGTACATTTCAAATGTTAAATACACACTAGAGGGCGCTTTATTTTTATTTTTACGATATTTTTTCTAATCTGAAATACGTCACTTAGGCTGTGCTTTGTTATTATGCGTGTCATTTACACACTCTTCTTCTACATATCTATTTAAAGGCGAGGCTTGTCATGCATAAACCCAACCAACAAATGCTAACAAAAACTGCATTGCGCCCACATGGTTTTACCTTGATTGTAAATTGCTTTATTATCTTTTTTTTTTTTTGGAAGTGGACTAAAATACCAGAAAAAGTTGTCCAAATGGAGATTTGCGAACGTAAACATGTTTGATTACAAATCACTTTTGAATTATTTTGTGGTTTTTATTTTGAGTCGTGCATGCTGAAGGTCCATGTTCGATCAGCCAACAGAACAAGATAGTCTGCAAATAATGTTCTTTTGGGTTCATCGAACATGGACCTTCAGCATGCACTGGGGCGGTTTGCTGCCGAGGGTGACGTGGCTGGGATATGCCAAGTCCGAGGCCATGGTGCTCCACCGGAAAAAGGTGGTCTGCCATCTTCAGTTTAGAGGAAAGTCCTTACTCCAGGTGGAGGAGTTCAAGTATCTTTGGGGTTTTGTTCATGAGTGAGGGAGGGATGGAGTGTGAGACTGACAGGCGGATTGGTGCAACGGCAACAGTAATGCGGTCGACGTACCGGTCCACTGTGGTAAAGAAGGACCTGAGCCGAAAGCCAAAGCTCTCAATTTACCGGTCAATCTACATTCCTACTCTGACCTATGGGCATGAGCCTTGGGTCATGACTTAAAGAACAAGATCTCGGATACAAGTGGCCGAAATGAGTTTCCTTCACACTCTTATGGATAGGGTGAGGAGCTCTGACACCCGGGAGGAGCTCGGAGTAGAGCCGCTGCTCCTCCACATCCAGAGAACTCAGCTGAGGTGGCTCGGGCATCAGTTTTGGATGCCTCCTGGACGCCTACCTAGGGAGGTGTTCCAGCCATGTCCCACAGGGAGGACACCTCTGGGAAGACCCAAGACACGCTGGAGGTACTATGTCTCTCGTCTGGCCTAGGAATGCCTCGGGGTCCCCCAGAGGAGCTGGAGGAAGTGTCTGTAGAGAGGAAAGTCTGGGGTTCTCTCCTAAGACTACTTCCCCCGCGACCCGGCCCAAGAAAAGTGGACGAAAATGAGACGAGATGATATATAAAAATATCATTAGCGTGAAAAGAAATAAAAGTTTTGCAGTTATACTGCCCCCTAGTGTTCCTTTTACCTAGAAACTGCAATCATAAGTGTGTTTTTGCATGCTAATGTAATGTACACTGAAGCATGTACTTGCAATGAGCCTGTGTTGTGTCAATGTGCACCAATGTCTGCAGTTTTGGACTGATATGATGCACTTCTGCTGTCAAATATGACATTATGACCTCCAGCAGTCGATGCTATGAAGTAAAACAGCAGATCTAATGTAAATAAACAGAGGAGCAACATTTCAGAAACATCAACAAAATCTGAGGATGAACGATTAGCCATTTCAGTAAGCATGACCAAAGCAAAGAGCGGTCCATTAAAAAAACATTCGACTCAAAACATACTGGTGCATATTTGATTAAGTTTTCCATTTTTTTGTTCTTTTTATTATTATTATTATTATTAATATTATTATTTTCTTCTGCTTGCTAAGATACATAGCTCTTGTAAGTGCCCCAACAAAAATAGTGCATTAGGAAATAACTATGATAATACACGTTTCACGAAAACACACGAGACAAGAGGAGGAACAAGAACACAAATGCGCTTTCGCCAAAAAAAGAAAACATTAAATATACGATTGAAAAACGTTTGTTTGTTTGCGTTTTCTTCCGTTTTTATACAAAAGTGGCGACGCTTCGCACCCTGCTTTTGAAAAAAAACAGGACTCACATCTCAACCTTTTTTTTGTCATTGTCAGTTTCTGTTTTTACAAAAAAAGCTGTATTCTTCACTCTTTTTACAATATCTAAAAGGTATTAAGACATCAAATGTGTTGACATAGATATTTGAGACTATTATTCAGGCCTAACTCACCAAAGAAACCCCCGAAACGAACTTTATAAATACATACAAAAAAAGCACATTAAGAAGTTGGACAATAAGTCTGGTACCTAAATGTGGTTAAAACTGCATTCCTGGCTTACTGTAAATCTACCAATCCACACACCTCAAACTACACTCAACTACAGGAGTAGAAATGATCCTGATGGGGGATAAACATCACGCCGAACGCTTCCAGTTTGTGCCGATGACGGAAACGAAAAGTAATTCAATCACGTTTAAAAGTCTCTCTTCTCACAGTAGAAACAGGACAGACGTACAGTATGAGGATCATCAGGCTAACAAACAAAATAACGTGAGGTTATTATTATCAATATTATTATCCTAGTCCGGCGTTCTCCAAAGATAAAGTGGCAAACACAAACATTTCAGGCCAGATGCACGAATGCTTTGTCGATCCGGATGTGTGGATGTAGTTTTTCGGGCAGGACTGGTGATGTTCTTCAGACATATTGGACGGATATTTGGAGATCAGATGTTCACATGGGCGGGACGATCAGACCGGCCATAGCTGGAGGACAGAGAAGAAGAGAGACGCTTCATTACTGGACACATCTGATTAACACACACACACACACACACACACACACACACACATACAGTGAGTCTTAAACATTGAGCAGATTCAATGGTTAAAATGGAAACAAATCTTGGGAAGTCTTAAAAGAAAATGCTGTGGTGTCATAACTCACTGTTGGGTCAAACAGTGTTGGGTTATTATTTTATTTAGATTTAAATTGTATTTTTACATGATGGTTGGGTTGTTTTTAGACCTAATGTTGGGTTAAAACAACCCAATATAACATCAATTATATAATATAAATACACTCTAAAGAGTGCTGGGTTATTTCAACACAATTCTGAGAGTAATAGGGACTAATCCAATTCTGAGTTCATTTTCTGAATTAAATGTATAGGAGCAAATTTAACCCAATGTTTGGGTTAGTCAATATTTTACCCAATAAACTGGCATTTTAAGAGTGTACTCTTGTAAAACATTGAGTTGTTTAAACCTGAACATGCTGAAAAGACCCAATGTTGAATTATGTTTTAAATGATATTTGAACTACTCTATTTAATCTAATGGCTGAGTTTGTTTATATTTGACCCAATATTGGCTTAAAACAGCCCAATACTTTTTTTAAAGTATATTTTAAGTAAAAATTCACTCACATTGTAAACTTGTTTTAAGCAGAATCAATTTTACCTTATGAGTCAAGTTTAACCAGTTTAAAACAGTGTGTATAAATAGTTTAACATGATTAAATACTCTTGAAAACGCTGGGTTGTTTTAACATAATGTTAAGTCAAATGTTGAAAACCCCCATGCCGGGTTCCTTTCTTAAAATTATATTTTAACTACACTTCTAAGTCCAGTAGTTTGGTTTGTTTATATTTGACCCAATCTTGTGTTAAAACAACCCAATGATGTTTAAGTATTTTTAAAGTAGAAATTTACTCACACTTTAATTTTTAAGTAGAATCAAATTAACCCTATGAGCCATTTCACCTTTAAACAGTTTAAAACAGCATGTATAAACTCTAGAACATGATTAAATCACACTTGAAAACACTGGGTTGTTTTGACGCAACGTTAGGTCAAATGTTGGGTTATTTTTACAATTAAATTTCAATTACTCTTTTTAACACAATGGTTGGGTTGTTGTTATTGGACCTAATGTTGGTTAAAACAACCCAATATAAAACTACATTATAAACAGAAATGCATTCATATTGTAAAAAACTGAGAGAGAGACAGAGACAGAGAGAGAGAGAGAGAGAGAGAGAGAGAGAGAGAGAGAGAGACAGAGACAGAGACAGAGAGAGAGAGAGAGACAGAGAGAGAGAGAGAGAGAGAGAGAGAGAGAGAGAGAGAGAGAGAGACAGAGACAGAGACAGAGAGAGAGAGAGAGACAGAGAGAGAGAGAGAGAGAGAGAGAGAGAGAGAGAGAGAGACAGAGAGAGAGAGAGACAGAGACAGAGAGAGAGACAGAGACAGAGAGAGAGAGAGAGAGATGGCTGCCTTAAATTGTAATGTTGAATCAATTTACCCTCATGAGCTGTTTCAACTTAAACTACATTACAGGAAACTGATTTAGAACAGTTGCATCAATTATATAATATAAATACACTCTAAAGAGTGCTGGGTTATTTCAACACAATTCTGAGAGTAATAGGGACTAATCCAATTCTGGGTTCATTTTCTGAATTAAATGTATAGGAGCAAATTTAACCCAATGTTTGGGTTAGTCCATATTTTACCCAATAAACTGGCATTTTAAGAGTGTACTCTTGTAAAACATTGAGTTGTTTAAACCTTGAACATGCTGAAAAGACCCAATGTTGAATTATGTTTTAAATGATATTTGAACTACTCTATTTAATCTAATGGCTGAGTTTGTTTATATTTGACCCACTATTGGCTTAAAACAGCCCAATACTTTTTTTAAAGTATATTTTAAGTAAAAATTCACTCACATTGTAAACTTGTTTTAAGCAGCATCAATTTTACCTTATGAGTCAAGTTTAACCAGTTTAAAACAGTGTGTATAAATAGTTTAACATGATTAAATACTCTTGAAAACGCTGGGTTGTTTTAACATAATGTTAAGTCAAATGTTGAAAACCCCCATGCCGGGTTGCTTTCTTAATATTATATATTAACTACACTTCTTAGTCCAGTGGTTGCGTTTATTTATATTTGATCCAATGTTGTGTTAAAACAACCCAATGATGTTTAAGTATTTTTAAAGTAGAAATTTACTCACACTTTAATTTTTAAGTAGAATCAATTTAACCCTATGAGCCATTTTACCTTTAACCAGTTTAAAACAGCATGTATAAACTCTAGAACATGATTAAATCACTCTTGAAAACGCTGGGTTGTTTTGACGCAAATGTTGGGTTATTTTTTCAATTAAATTTTAATTACTCTTTTTAACACAATGGTTGGGTTGTTTTTATTTGACCCAATGTTGGGTAAAAACAACCCAACATTTATCTTTTGAAAACATTTTATTCTTTTTTAAGAGAGAGTGTGAGAGAAAGATGGTTACCTTAAATTTTAATGTTGAATCAATTTATCCTTATGAGCTAATTCAACCTAAATTACATTACATGATTTAAAACAGCAGGGTGCGAATTACAGGGGTGTTTGAGCGGGATTGACCCCCCTAAATAATGCATGATCCCCCCTCAAGGATATCGAAACAAGCTGGGGTCAGCCCTTTAATAGTGAGAAATAGTTTTCCCTGATCTGTATCTTAAATATTAATTAAAATAATAGATCACACAAACACACATTTGAGCACCCCTATAATGGTTCATGTATAATTCCACTAATCAGTCTTTGCAAGAATCATTCAACAGTGTCTGAACTAGCAGATCTAGAGCAGCGATGGAAAACGTAAGTGGTCACGAGAACAAAAGGTGTTCAGATTTACATATAGCCAGAAAGTAAAGTAAAATTACATGCATAGTTTAAATATTAATTATAACTAATATTCAATTAATATTAATTATATTAATTAATTATAATAATAATATTAATAATTAAATAAATAATAATATAAATAAATAATAATTAAATTAAAATATATATATATATTACTACTGTTTTGCTTCTTACACTTTCTTTGCATACCAGAAACTTGCCTATAGCACTTATTCATTGTTGCTGTTTTAGTTGTGTAAATTGCTTCCTTCATTTGTAAGTCGCTTTGGATAAAATCGTCTGCTGAATGACTAAATGTAAATGTGAATGAATAGTTTGAGCTAGTAACCTCTAAAATAATCAGGTTACTGTATGTCAGAATACATTTAATATCCCTCAAAACACTGAAATCTTAAATACATTTAATTAATAAATCTGATGTCATTTAAATGAATAGATGCATTTAATTTACTGAAAACTTAACAAAAAAGTCGCCCCCTGATCACCAATGTATAACTCACAGCCTGTAGAACAGTGTGTATTAACTGTAAAACAAAATATAAACACTCTAAAAAGTTTGGTTGTTTAACCCAATGTTAATCCAGTGAAAAGCATTGTGTTGTTTTAACCCAATGTTAGGTCAAATGTTGAAAAACCCAACGTCAAGTTAATTTCTTAAAACTATGTTTTAATTACACTTTTTAATCCAATGGTTGCGTTTGATTATATTTGACCCATTGTTGGCTTAAAACGACCCAATGTTTTTTAAAGTATATTTTAAGCAGAAACTCACTCACAAAATGGCCCTAAATTTGTAAGTAGAACCAATTTAATCTTACGAGCCGTTTTAACTTTAACCAGTTTAAAATAGCATGTATAAACATGAATAAAATACTCTCTGGGTTGTTTTAACCAAATGTTGGGTCTAACTTACAGTGACAAACCCAATTATTCCAATGAAATTAAACTAAATTAAAATTAAATTAAACTATTTAACCCAATAGTTGGGTTTGTCCATATTTAATCCAATGTTGGTTTACAACAACCCAGCATTTTTAGTGGAAGAAGTTGTATTAAATTTGATGCTTGGACAAATATCTGCCACTTAATCAGAGATGTATAACTGATGGGTTGTTATAATGCAATATGTTCAGAGCTGCAGATCAGTTCAGTTGAGTTCAGTGTGGTTTAATCTTGTGGGCAAATCCATCCATACGCATCCATGTAACTTAATTATATAACTTGTTTTTTGTGCTTATTTTATTTTATTATTTATTTTTAGGTTTATTTAATCATTGCATCTATTTTTATAATATTTTATTTGAAGAGTATTTATGTTTTACAATGCATACACACTGTTCTGCAGGCTGTGAGTTATACATTGGTGATCAGGGGGCGACTATTTTGTTAAGTTTTCAGTAAATTAAAGGCATCTATTTATTTAAATCACATCAGATTTATTAATAAAACATATTTAAGTTGTCAGTGTTTTGAGGGATATTAAATGTATTCTGATTATTTCAGAGGTAACTAGCTCAAACTACTGAAAGCATGCATCTACTTTGATTTGCTTTTAGGCTTTATGTAAATCTAAACACCTACTTTACAAGAAAACTGTCTCGTGACTATTTAAAATATCCATCGCTGCTCTAGATCTGCTGGTTTAGACACTGCTGAATGATTTACACTGTTTTTAGATTTATAAATATTCATGACTTGCAGTCAAAAAAAAATAATGTGTTGTTATTATGCAATGTTGGTTTAAAAGTAGACAAACCCAAATGTTGAGTAAAAAAAAACTTATTTTGATTTCATTTTTTAAAAAATAACCCAACATTGGGCTTGTCCATATTTGACCCAACATTGTATTACAACAACCCAGCATTTTATAGAGTGTATAATCTATCTAAAAAGACCCCTAAGGGTCTCTGAAGTGCTTTTGTAGCATCTTAAGAACGACAAATAAGATAATAAAGGACAGATTTGGGTTTCTAACATGCACGTTATACTGGAAAATGATCACAGGTTAGGACTGCATGCACATTTAATATTACACTATAAACATTTAATGGTGTGTGTATTCTAACGGGTCAAATATGAACAAACACAACTGGTGAGTTAAAAAGTGTTATTTAAATTCAATTAAAAAAATAAACAACACTAATGGTTGGATTTGTCCGTATTTGACCCAACATTATGTTACAACAGCTTAGCATAAATTACAATATACATAAACAAATGTTCTCCAGCAAACATCACCACCTGCGTTAAATAAATGTACTTATTTACCTAAAATGTATAATTGTGGGGGCTGTAAAAAGCAACCAATGGTAAAAGTAGGAAGTTATGGATCAACTTTGTCCTAAAAAGGTCATGCCATAGTTTAATGTCAGATTCTAGAGGCGGGTCTTGTGTGCTGATTGGCTGAGAGGCAGGAGAGGGGCGGGTGCTCACCCTGTAGACTGCTCCCATTGGTGCTGGTGCAGGTGGGGGGCGGGGAGCTCTGTGGCCGGACGACCGGCGCGAAGGCGCTCTTCTGTTTGACTGCAGAGATCATATGGACAGGAGAGAATGAGAAAGGGCCCGCAGACAGACAGATGGAGGAGTGAGGCTCCAACAGAGGACTGGAGGGGGTGACTGAAACACACACACACACATGCAAACACACACACACACACACACAGATGAGTGGGTCATGCCGACTGTTAGAGGGTTAATTGAAGGGGAGGGCGATGGCATGGGAATGAAACCGTGTGCTACACCTGCATGGCAAAGTTGATCCATAACTTAGAACCCTTGATTTACAGTACATCAGTGCAGTCCACATGTTCAGCTTTGATTTGTTCTGGCATGCGGTCGTCTGCATGCTCTGGTCAGAAAAGCGCCGGCAGTAATCCTGGCGCTCTCAATCTGAGCTCTCTCACCAAAAAACCCACAACGAGTTTTTCTTGAATGAAATTCCAATGGAAAACTCTTGCCAGCTTCTTATAATGAAGAGAAAGCACAGAAACAGCGCTGGCTGGCCTGCCAAACAAGTGCCAATCACACACAATACAGCTGTTAGAGATCCAGTGCATCAACAGGCGGCAGTATATAAACCTCAGCTGATGTTCAGCATTCTGATCGCTTGTGTGCCTCTCAAAATGCCAGAAAGCGGCAGCAGCAGTGTTTCCATCCAAATAGTTCATGTGCATTTTAGTGTATTGCATAAGACACGCTTAACAGAATACAGCTCTGAAAATGCACAACACATTCAATTCATCTTTATTTCTATAGCGCTACTACAGCGTAGATTGTGTCGCAGCAGCTGAACACAGAAGTTCTAGTGAACTGAAACAGTGTCAGTCCAGTGTTCAGAGCTGAAGATCAGTTTAGTTCAGTTCAGTGTGGTTAAATAATCACTACTGAGAGTCGAAACGCTGAAGAGCAAATCCATCCACTGACAAGCAAGTCAGTGGCGAGTGTAACTTACTTTATAACTTATTTTAGTTTTATTATTTGTATTTTTTTATTTAGTTAAAATATGTACTTATGTTTTATTTTTAGGTTTATTTTATTTTTATAATATTTTATTTTTAATATTTTATTATTTATTATTATTTATTATTTATTATTCTTTTTTAACTTATTTTGGTTTTAGACATTTTTTTGTATTTATTACATTTTTAAAATGTACTATTTATTGTTGTTTTATTTTTAGGTTTATTTTTTTTTATATTTTATTTTTAATATTTTATTATTTATTATTATTATATAACTTATTTTGGTTTTAGAAATTTTTATTTATTTATTACATTTTTAAAATGTACTTATGTTTTATTTTTAGGTTTATTTTATTTTATAATATTTTATTTTATTTTTATTCTTTATTTGATTTTTAGTATTTTATTATTTATTATTCTTATATAACTTATTTTAGTTTTAGATACATTTTTTGTATTTATTATATTTTTTAAAATGTACTATTTATTGTTGTTTTATTTTTAGGTTTATTTTATTTTTTTAATATTAAATTAGATTTTTTTATTTACTATATTATCTTTTTAGGTTTTTTTATTTACCTAATGTTTTTTTAGGTTTATTTTGATATTATTTTATTTTTAGATTTGTTTATGGTTATATAGTAATGTAATTTATGAGTAACAGCCCAAACACTGAAGTCCAAACACTGAAGAGCAAATCGATCCATGCGCTGCACTACAAGTCCCTAAATCGCTCTAAAAAATGCTGTTGTAACCCAACATTGAGTCAAATAAAGACATAAAATTTTATTTAATTAAAATTAAATGACTTTTTAACCCACTGGTTGTGTTTGTTTTTATTTTTACCAAAGCCCAGATATTGTTAGAGTGTGATAATTGGGCTAAATATGGACAATACAAATGATGTTAGGTTCGTTTAATTTTTAATCAACTAAAGAATCCTCAATAGACTAAATGTTTGAGTACTGAGCAGGATAAACTTTGATTTGATAGGGAAAAATGTGCATACTCTACACTGTAAACAGAGAGATTAAATTCTGCGCATGCTCTTCATCAGTATGTGTGATGTGATGTAGTTATTCACAAATATAAGTGTGTGTGTGTGTGTGTGTGTGTGTGTGTGTGTGTGTGTGTGTGTGTGTGTCTTTGTGTCATTAATGTTGGCCTTCAGCTCTCCATGTTTCCAGATCTCCATTGTTGCAGATGTGAGATGTTGTTGTGCTGATTGTAAAAGGCCTCAGCCCTTCATCAGTCCATCATCACAGTGATTCAGTATTACTCTTCTTCTATTATTATTCCCTCCAGAACTGTCTTTAGCATTAGTCTGCGCTCCTGTCTCACGCCTCCAAAAGCCACCGTGTTCATTGCGTTTGGTCTTGAGTCTTCTGAGGCGCAGCTCATTTATTAGAGGAGAACAAACAGCACAGTGGAGAATCCCAACAGTGCAGCACACTCCACTTCTCTCAGTGATATCTGTGCACGTTCAGCAGGATCTGATCTTTGTATTCTCTTTTGTTTCTCATTATACGGAAACCCTGCTTCATTCACTGATGATTACAGTTTGCACATACATTTAATCGCACCTTTGGATGGAAACACAACTATTGATGAGTGTGTGAGCGAAGCATGGAGGAGCTGTTAATGTGTTAGGAGATGAGAAAATATGAGTTAGTTCAGATGGAGACAGCGCATGAACAACAACACACACACACACACCACACACAACCTTTCTTTTCTGCTCAGACACAAACACACACCGTCAGATGAGCTGCCAACACAAATCCACCTTCATACTAAGAGTGGTCAGGTTTAGCTGGTCAAATTTAACCCAACATGCACTGCGCAAATGACTGGTTTCTAACATTTCCCACAGGTGTGTTACTGGTCCGTCAGTCTGTGTTCTCCATGATAGCGCTTCTTTGTTGGTCCGTGGTTCAATCCATTACACAGGAGTTTGGAAACTATTTGTTTGGGTTCACACCAAGGACTACAACTCTACTATACTACACTATACAAGACATATACAGTTGAAAGCAGAAGTTTACATGTTGATGAGACTAAACTTTTTCTCTTTTTTTGATTCTGTTCTGCGTAACAGCAGAATAATGAGAGAGATGTTGTTTTGAGAAATTGTTATAACTCTTCTAGAAAGTCAAGTTTACGCACAATAAGATTATCCTGCCTCTGGAGAAGCTCAGATGATGATGTCGAAGTTTTGGAAGTTTCTAATTGACAACATTTGAGTTATTGTGAGGCACAACTGTAGAATAGTGTTGAAGGAAAAGCTCAAACACACTGCTTCCTTGTGTAACAACATGAGAAAATCAACAAGCCAGAATCAACAACAAAGCCAGATTACCTCTAGCTGAATGACACTGGGAAAAGACTCATGTTTGGAGACATGTCCTGTGCTCTGATGGAGCTAAGATTGAACTGTTTGGCCATAATGAGCAGTGTTACATCTGGAGGACAAAAGGGAAAGCGCACAAGCCTAGAACACCATCCCAACTGTGCAGTATGGGGGCGGCAGCATCATGTTGTGGGGCTGTTCTGCTGCAGGAGGGACTGGTCCACTTCACAGCATAGATGTCATCATGAAGACAGAACATTATGGAGAAATACTGAAGCAACATCTCAACACATCAGCCAGGACATTACAACTTGCCCACAAATGGCTCTTCCAAACAGATCATGACCCTGAGCATACTGCCAAATGAGTTCAAATGTGCTTTAAGGTCAGCAGAGGGAATGTTTTGGAGTGGCCATCACAAAGCCCTGATCTCAATCCTATAGAGAATGTGTGGGCGGAGTTGAAAAAGCTTGTGCGAGCAAGACAGCCTACAAATCTGACTCAGTTACAGCAATTCTGCAGGAGGAATGAGCCAAAACTCCTGCAAACTATTGTGAGAAGCTTGTGGAAGGAGACCCAAAACATTTGAACAAAGTAAAACAGTTTAAAAGCAAAGCTTAAACATACCAGAGAAATGTGTGTAAACTTTTCACTGTCTAGAAATTAATAAAAGATCCTCAAAAAAAAATCTCTCATTATTCTGGCATTTAGTGAATGTAAATCATTTAGGAAATCCTAATGGACCTAAAATAGTAAACCTTTAGTATCATTTACCATCAGGCATTTTTTAAAATGGTTATGCTCCTTTCTTTAGAGTGCATGTAAACTTCTGATTTCAACTGTATATTTGTTTATTTATATATATATAGTTTTAACTGTGGTTTATTCAAAATGACATTATTAAAATGATTCGATTATAACAAAATAATAAAACCTTGTTGTCCTAAAACATTCAAAGCTTCAGATGATGAAAGTCCAGCATGCACATGTATACTCATGCATCTGTGTTCATGCTCTGTTATCATTCTTGGTGTGAATAATGCGTTTAGGAATCGGTCTGTATTCTTCTTAGCTGTATTGTGGTGTGTTTGAGTAATCGGACACTCACTTGCGTATGGAGAGTTTGCAGCGGAGCCGTTGAGGAAGCTCGGGGATCCCGGCACGCCCAGGTTGGTCATTCCAGCGGCTCCGTATCCGTTCATGGTGGAGGTGATGGTGTTGTAGTTGGACTGCTGCGGTGTGGAGCTCGGCACGTACCCGCGAGGAGACACGCTGTTGGAGTTACGAGAGTAACCTGGAATACAGCACAGGGTAGAACAGATGAGAGAAGCGGAGGAGTAACTGATGAATTATTCAAATATAATAAACACCTGACCCATGTGGACATTTGTATAGTAGTGTATTGTAAATACTGTAGTACATACTATAGAAAATGTACTTCAATTAACCTACTGTGGTGATTCTACAGTTGCTAAGGTAATAACTATAGAAATCGGTAAAGTCTAGATTAGATATGCGGCCAGCCGGAAGTGCAATATGCACATCACTACAGCAGCATTTTTTTTATTACACTATATAACAATAATTCATATTTTTACATTACTGTGATGGTTGCGGTAGACGCTAATGAATTAAAATAAATTGGAAATTTAATAAATAATATAAATAACTCTTGTTAACTTCCCGCCATAACCATATCCGATCTTGCAACAACAATAGAAATAGTGGTGATTCTACAGTTGCTATGGTAACACAACAAAAATAGTAATTACTCTGAGGTGATGATTATACAGTTGCCATGGTAACACAACTACAGTAACACAAAAACAACAGTAATTATTCTCATGTGGTGATTCTACAGTTGCTATGGTAACACAACAAAAATAGTAATTACTCTGAGGTGATGATTATACAGTTGCCATGGTAACACAACTACAGTAACACAAAAACAACAGTAATTATTCTCATGTGGTGATTCTACAGTTGCTATGGTAACACAACAACTACAGGGTTATAAATAAATGACCAACACTGTAGTTTTCTACAACAATAGGGTATATTAGACTACACGACACCACAGTATACTAAATTATACTACAATGTTTCTTGCAGTTCATCAGAGCTAGTTTGACTTCAGCAACAGACTGGTAATCAAAACAACACACTCAGTCCTGAACAGAGTGTTCCTACAGAAACCTCATACTCTTTGTTTGTATTTTCTCTTTTTCCAGAAACGTTCATAGTCTGCCAGAACTAAAGAGGAAGTCGACTTGGCATACATGCTTTTTCACTCTCTGGGCTTTAAGACTAACTACCAGACCATTTTGAGGGATACAAACAATAACAATGGTCCCAATGTATTTCCTGTTTTACATTTTAATTTCCATGGCTTCCAAAAATCCAAAAAGGTGAGATATTGATAAATAATGCTATGATACCAGTTTTAATGTGAAAATAGGATTGAATCACCTCGTTACAGTTATGAAATAGTATGATATCAAGCAGGAAATATGCAAGGGACAAAAACATTACCACATTGAAATGGTCTATAAGACAAATAATAATAATAATACATGTACAAACATTTAGAATAGGCACTTTAAAAGAGTTATAACCATTAATATATTTCTTATTCAACCTCCAATCAACAAGTCTCCAGTCAGTGTAATTTTCATATATTTTCATATACTTGTATTTTCACTTTTTCTTATTTATTTTAAAGAATTTTTTTTTAATGTTTTTAATTTGTTTTAGTACTTTGGCAATTGTGTTGTTACAAGTGTACAATGCATGTCACAATACAAGTGTAGCTTTTATAAATTGTATTTTACATTTTTGTAATTTTTTTGTGATGTTTTCTAGCCTAAAGATAAAATCACTTTAATCTAGAGAAATACATAAATATAAAAATACAATTTTTAGGTTATTTTTTTTTTTTTACATTTTTTTCAACAAGAACTGCTTACTTATGAAAATTGCTTATTATTATTAGTGTTTGATTTGATTTATTAATTGCGAACGGAAAATCATACACCTAACACAAATCTTCAAACAAAAGACCTTTCCTCATGATCAACAAAATATTTACTCATTCATCTACACTTAAAATAACAAATGCATTTAGCTATTAGTGTTGAAACAATCACTTTTGATATATATATATATATAGTATTATTAGTATACATTACATATAGTACAATTCTAATTATTAAGATTATTGCAATAACTAATAATTTAGTTAAAAATGCATTCATATAGTCCCTCATGATGTATAGTCCCAGGAATGGGTTGCAGCTGGAAGGGCATCCGCTAAGTAAAAACATATGCTGGATAAGTTGGCGGTTCATTCCGCTGTTACAACCCCAGATTAATAAAGGGACTAAGCTGAAAAAAGAAAATGAATGAATGAATGAATAAATAAATTAATGAATGAATAGTCGCTTATCTATCAGAGGTCACCACATCGGAATGAACCGCCAACTATTTCAGCATATGTTTTAAACAGTGTATGCTCTTCCATCTGCAACCCAGTACTGGGAAACACCCATACACACTCATTCACACACACACACACAAACACACACACACACACACAAGCGCACATGCACATGCACACACACACACACACATGCGCACACGCACAAACACACATGCGCACACACACACAAACACACACACACACACACCCACACACACACCCACACCCACACACACACACACACACACACACACACACACACACACACACACACACACACACACACACACACACACACACACTATGGCCAATTTAATTCATCAATTGCCCTATAGCGCATTTGCTATAGGGGAAACACCAACTGACCGAGCCGGTGCTCGAACCAGTGACTTTCTTACAATGGGGCCACAGTGCTAACCACTGAGCCACCATGCCGCCCTTAGCTAAAAATAAAAATTGTATATAATATTATCAAAATATAGTATCTGACAGCTCAGCCATCTCTTCTGTCAGTCACATGACCTTCATCATCATCATCATCATCATCATCTGCATATCTCTCATGTTCTGTGGGCGGACGCTGATAGTCTGAGATCTCCTCTAAATAAGCTCTGCTCCTGAGTGTTGAGGAGCTGCAGGAGGACAGGGCTGCTGTTTTCTGGAAATCAGTTTGCAACTTAATGAGAAGTTGAAACAATAATTAGTTTGATGGATGAAGGAGCGGAGCAGCGGGCTAAACGAATTAAATCCTGCTGAAGTTTCAGTGCGCACGAGCGACATGTATGAAACGCAATATTTTTATAACGGCGAGCGGCCCTTTCCCATGACCTCATGATTCCTGTAGGTGTTTCTTTCCTGCGTGGATGAGGAAAACAGACGAGAGAGAGAGAGAGAGAGAGAGAGAGAGAGAGAGAAAGAGAGTGTGTGTGTGTGTTTGAGTGTGAGTTCTGTTCATCTTCTGTTCATCTCTCGTTCTGCTCGTCTCACATGTTTTCCCACTTCCTGTGTGTGTGTCAGATCCACTGCTGAGAAGAAACATTGCCAGCGCTGAGATATTGAAAACACACTTGACTTGTGCATGGAAATGCTCACACACACTGCATGGTGCGCACACATATGTATATACACATATATGCTCACTGGCCACTTTATTAGGTACACCTTACTAGTACTGTGTCGGGCGCTCTTTTGCCTTCAGAACTGCCTTAATCCTTTGTGGCGTAGATTCAACAAGCTACTGGAAATATTCCTCAGAGATTTTGCTCCATATTGTCATGATAGCATCACACAGTTGCTGCAGATTTGTCGGCTGCACATCCATGATGCCAATCTCCCGTTCCACCACATCCCAAAGCTGCTCTATTGGATTGAGCTCTGGTGACTGTGGAGGCCATTTGAGTACAGTGAACTCATCGTCATGTTCAAGAAAGCAGTCTGAGATGATTGAGCTTTATGACATGCTGCGTTATCCTGCTGGAAGTAGCCATCAGAAGATGGAGACACTGTGCTCATAAAGGGATGGACATGGTCAGCAGCAATACTCAGGTAGGCTGTGGCGTTGATGCTCAATTGGTACTAATGGACCCAAAGAAAATCTCCCCCACACCATTACACCACCACCACCAGCCTGAACCGCTGATACAAGGCAGGATGATCCATGCTTTCATGTTGTTGAGGCCAAATTGTGAGCCGAGCATCTGAATGTGTGAGCAGAAATGGAGACTCATCAGAGCAGCAACGTTTCTCCAATCTTCTATTGTCCAGTTTTGGTGAGTCTGTGTGAATTGTAGCCTCAGTTTCCTGTTCTTAGCTGACAGGAGCGGCACCCGGTGTGCTCTTCTGCTGCTGTAGCCCATCCGCTTCAAGGTTGGCCGTGTTGTGTGTTCAGAGATGCTCTTCTGCAGAGCTCGGTTGTAGCGAGTGCTTATTTGAGTTACTGTTGCCTTTCTATCAGCTGGAACCAGTCTGGCCATTCTCCTCTGACCTCTGGCCTCATAACAAGGCATTTGCGCCCACAGAACTGCCGCTCACTGGAGATTTCCTCATTCTCTGTAAACCCTAGAGATGGTTGTGCGTGAAAATCCCAGTAGATCAGCAGTTTCTGAAATACTCAGAGCAGCCCGTCTGGCAGCAACAATCATGCCACGGTCAAAGTCACCTAAATCCCCTTTCTTCCTCATTCTGATGCTCAGTCTGAACTGCAGCAGATCCTCTTGACCATGTCTACATGCCGAAATGCAGTGAGCTGCTGCCATGTGATTGGCTGATTAGACAGTTGGACAGGTGTACGTAATAAAGTTAAAGCTCTCAGAACTGTAGATCCTTCATTAGGTCTTGGTTTTGATACACAGATGAAGTCAGATGTGTCTGCGCTCCTAAACTACGTTTGCATTTGCAAATAATGTGTTTGACTGCTGTAGCGCTGTCATTCAGAGTCTCTCAGCTCCTTCACAGCCGCGCTGCTCACACTTCTCTCAGCACACACACACACACACACACACACACACACACACACACACACACACACACACACACAGGCAGGCAGACAGACAGGCAGACAGACACACACACACAGGCAGAAAAACATGCTTCTGCACACTGAAGTAGACACACACACACACACACACACACACACACACACACACACACACACACACACACTTATACACACACATACACAAGCAGACACAAACGTATGCACACCCACAATTATACACACAAACACACACACACACAGAATTAACACACAGACACATGCTTATGCACGTACAAAAGCATTCACACATGCTCAACGGCAAACACACACATTTATGCACGCACACACACACCCAATGAACACACTCACATATGCACAACAGCAGACATACATGCTTACATTAGTCAAACACACACATGCACACACTCAGACTGATGCAAGCACATAGCAATGTATAGACACAAACACATGCATTGACACACATGGAGACAGACTTATGCGCACACACACATGCAAGAAGATACACTTATACACACAGACACAATGTGCATACACTGACACACACAGGCAGATACATGCACACACACACAGATACAATGTACAACCATGCACACACATACACAATGTTCGCACACATACAGTACTGTACACACACACACACATTGATCAGTGTTTCTATTGTCAGGTGAGTGGCAGTTTTGAGTGCTGCATGTGACAGATCTGCCAAAACACAGTCATGACATCCTCACATAGAGCCGTGTGAGTGTGTGTGTGTGTGTGTGTGTGTGTGTGTGTATTTCTGAATGGTGTCTCAATCAGAGCAGTCAGACACTCTGTAGGGCCGCAAACGTGTGATCAATTCAACTGAAGATGGTGTGATAAAAACATTAACACGATTAATTGTGCCCCCTGATCTGTATGCAAATCAGCTACAGTATTTAAATGAGTCTGGGAGTAAGATCGTTCTCGCATCAGCTTCAGACGTACAGCATGAGGAGTTCTGCGTAAACACTGACATATGCAGCTCAGTTGATTTGCTTTTTGTTTTCTTAAGAGATTGAATATTTTTATTATTTAAATTCTAATGATTTTTTTTCTGGAAATAATACAAATATATCTAGATTTTTAATACTGTACAATTTTATTTAAATGTTTTTATTTCAACTAACACAACTTTTTTTGTCATGTTTGGGATTTG